GGAATACCGCACCCAGGCAGATTGATTCCCTGTCAATCCTGTACAAGAATGTTGTGAAGAGGCTGGTAGGATGGCTCAGTGGGTAAAGAGCCTCAGAACCTGAGTTCCATCTCCAGGACCCACTCGGTGGAAGGAGGGAACCAGTTCCTGCAGGTTGTTCTCTTGAACTCCACACATATGCTGTGCTCTGCATACCCCCACACATATTTACACATACACAGACAGAAATCAATAAATGTAATAAATATTTCAGCTCTTAAAATGTTTATAAAGACTGTGCCAAGAGCAGTTGATGAAGTATGTTCATTCATAAAATCCTATCTTAAGTAGGGGCGTCAATCTGACATACTGGCAATGAAGAAGAAGAGGCCAAGCACACTCCTGCTGCTGCTAAGGATGGGGAGGAGGGGTAGCAATTGGCTGGGCAGGTCAGAGGAAGGGACCCCGACACTAAATAATTCCCTCCCTATTTGCCTGTTGGAGCAGGCAAGGTTAATCTTACAGATTTTTCTGTTTTTTTTTTTTTTTTTTTTTTTTTACCTTGCTCTATTTTTGTGACTTGGTGCAGTGTGTGTGTGTGTGTGTGTGTGTGTGTGTGTGTGTGTGTGTGTGTACATATACTGGCCACAGTGTGCCTACGGAGGTCAGAAAACAACTTCTGGTGCTCTTTCCAGCATGTGGGTTCTTGGGGTGGGATTCAGGTCAGCCTTGGTGGCAAGTGCCTTTGCCTGGTGAGCCATCTCATCAGCCCCAGAGCTTCCTCTAAATGTCTATTTTCGAGCTCTCTTATGAGAAGACTAGCTCCCCCTTAAAGGTCTTTGTCACCTTCGTCCTCCCCAGGATAAGGTCTGTGGTTGTAACAAATGCACTGGCTTTACAGAGTGGCCGTGTCTCCCGAAGGTGTCGCCTGCTGTCTGTCCACCGAGGCAGTACTAAAGCGAGCCAGACTCCGCCACTGCCGTGAAGACTGTCAGTTTAGGACAACAGCCCATTACACACACGGCTGAAATAGCAGACGGAAAGGACAACTTCCAAAAGACGTTTTCAAAAGGAATGCCTTCACATTAGAAGTAGCCACTCAGGAAGGCATGGGGGGGGGGGAGCAGGAGCCAAGGTAAGCTAGACTCGGTGAGTAGGATTTTGATAGACTCCGTGGAAGGGATCACAAGGAGGGAAGACACAATGTTGTCCTGGCTGACTGAGGCATGGAGCTGAGTTGTTCAGGAAGGCTTTCTGCCAGAATATAGTTTATAAACACCCCACACTAGCCCACCGTGTCTACCCTACCAACATGGCTGAAGCCGGAAGACAGGCTGCCCGCAATCTGCTATTACTAAGAAGTCCCACCCCCCCACACCCATGGATTTGTGCATCCAAATACGGGATTGTTTTTATAGTAGGAAATACCTGGGTGCGTTTTAGTGTTTCCCCTATGGATTTGTATGATTATATGCTCACGCGTACATGTATGTGCATGGGTGTGGATGACTGCATTTGCCTGGTTTTCTACCTTATTTTCTGAGATAAGATCTCAAGTCTCCTTCTCCTGACAGGAGACGGAGTCTCATTGTGTAACTCTAGCTGACTTGAAACTCCTGTGTAGACCAGGCTGCCCTGGACCTCACTGACTCCCACCTGCCTCTGCCTCCTGAGCGCTGGGATGGAAGCAGAGCATTACCACACTTGGCAAAGCAGAGTCCCCCACTTGCCCTGCGCTGGGACAGCAGTGGACTGCCATGAACACCCCCACTGCCATGTCAATTCTGAGAGTTTGAACTTGAGTCCTCAGACTGTGTGGCAAACCTTTTGCCTAGAGTCACCTCCCAAGCCACGTTTTAACACACACACACACACACACACACACACACACACACACACACACACACACACA